TTTTAGCTCAAAAAAGTTATCAGAAATCAAGGTAAGTACCTCATCCGCATCTCAACACAAGGATCCAACTCGTGATCATACCTATTTCTGTAATAAAATACTAGAACAGTATCCTAATTTATATAAAGATGGTAATGAACAGCGTGAAATTGAAATTGAGGTAACAGCATAAATTTTAAGTGTCAATGACACTAGCTCTACTATCTTATGCTAATACAATTCGCTTAAGTCTTTAAGATGTCTCTCTGAGGCATGTTCATTTTTTGTTGGGTATTGTTAATTTAAAGAGACGTGCAATCATATAAAACGGGAACATGAATACACAGGCCAATAAAACATTAACTCACAAATATTTGGAATGGCATAATAAATTTACTGGATTACCAAATGTTTTAACAGATAAAATTCATTTCAAGTTATATAAGAGATACAAGAAAGAAACCGGTCTTGACCCCTGGATAAATTCTAAACTTTCTAGATCTTTCTAAATCGAAGAGGATGCAGATGATTATGAGTTATGACTGTATTATCAAAATTTCTAAGTTTCCGAAAGAGAAAGGTATAATCCGTGAAATAGTACATAAACGCTTTCCTTTCTTGTTATATACTAAATCGAATGCATGGTACCGAGATGTATTTAAATATACCGATTCAGAAGCTAAGTGCCCAGTATACAAAGAGGTACATACACATCGAGGTATATGGGGCGATTGGAGCTGTCTCGGTAAAAATGATCACTATTTTCTTAGCTGCCCTTTTCGTATCGATCAAAAGAAAGTTATAATTGCTATACAGAGCACACCGGAAATTCAAGTAAGTGTACCAAACAAAACCCGCCTTTATCAGCCAAAGGCAGGCTTATGCCAATATGCCATTGAGCATAAAATGGATCCCAACAGAAGCTGAGAAAAATAGGTGGACCATGAGATGTTTTCGTGGAGATTTGGAAAGAGACATACGCTTTTATCACGGTGGAATAGAAAGTAAAGAAGACCCTAGAAAATATCGTGAATTTTTAACAGATCGGGAGAGGCTGATCGGTGAAGAGTTATTATGTCATAGTATACTAAAAAGTGGTTTGAGTACTGCATGGCTCGATAATCTTATGGAAGAATGGGAAAAAATCCATGCTCAATTCACACAGATATCTTTTGAGAAAAAGACTTTATTTGTACCACAGGTAAATATTCAATCTACGCCATCTAAACAACAATTCCCAATTTTTGTTCTACCTAAAGACCCTGAAGAAAGGCAACAACATGTTATTGAAATGGTATTAGAACGATTTCCTTATTTAACTTTGAAACATAGTTTTAAATATAGTAATTATTTTGATTTTAATAGATCTGTACCCTGCCCTTTATGTGATAAAAACCATAAGAAAGAAAATATAAGAAATCATATAGAGGGCGAATGGGGAGTGGCAATTATGTCAATACAAAAACTTATCGTCTCTATTGTTATATAAATAAATATCAGAATTCAATCCACATAGTAACCGTAATATCATAGGTTAATAAAGGTAACTAAACATCAGAGAACGACTAGGATGAACATCAAAAACATATTTCAAAATAATGGCACTTCATGCCCGGAACCTTGCTTTATTTTAAAAATAAAAATATATATATATTGCCAAAACGGCATACAAATAAAATATATATATCGCATTTATATAATGCAAATAAAAAAATTAATTTTTTGGGGGGTCTACGTAAACATGAATGCCATTTTCATTGGGGTAGTAGTAAAGTCTTGAAAAATTCTAATCATTGGTTTAAAAAAATTACTATTGGGGGATGGACGTAGAATGATTTGAGTAGAAGGAATAGAATCAAACAAAGGTGCCAAGCGTTTTTTTACCATATGTTTGAGTAATTCAT